GATGGGCAGTCTCCTCCTGTGCAATTAACTGCCTCTGAAAACCTGCCGGAGGGTCACCTATGGGCCAGTTCTAACTCGAAGGTACACAAAAACAGTAAGTTAAGAACTGCTGGATTTTTGCTTGTTGCTTTTACTGCTTCCACCCCCCTCCCCCATAGATGTTGTGTTAAGTGTTGGAGTTTTGCTCTTCCTTTTTTATACCTCTCTTTTTTTTTTGCTAGAAATTGACCTTTAGCACTGCTTTTGTTTTGCGTCCCTAATGTTTTATTATGCTGTGTTTTCATGTTCATTTGATTCAAGGATTTTTTAAATTATTTTATTAGTGTGTGTGTGTGGTCAAATCGGATCTGACTGATACAGGAGGAGATTGTCCCTCCTTTCCCGGCAGAACATCTGGTGGATTTGAACCGTGAGCCTCTGGGATTGCAGTGCAGCTTCTTGCCACTAGGCCACCAGAGCTCCCCTCAAGGATGTTTTTCATTTCACTTTCTATTTCTTCTATTACCTAGTAGTTTCTTTGTTTATGAAAATGGCAATTTTATGTCTTAAGCTTCTCCCATTTACTATCAGGAAAGGTCATGATTCAGCAGATATACATAATATAACAAAAGACTTCAGGTTTGACGTTATTCCTTAAGAGAAGTCCAATCTCTGGAACAATAAAATGCCTCTCAAGTTTAATTAAAGACACAATTTACAAATATTTAAGACCTCTGAAAAGCATTTCTAAGTTAATAATGAGGGGTTTTTTTAAGTGCATTGTTGTTATTGTTGTGTACCACCAAGTTGGAACAGACCCATTGCTGAACCCTCCAGAGGGTTTTCAGAGGCAGTTAATCTCACGGGAGGAGTCTCCAGCTTGGCAGCTGGTGGATGCGAACTGTGTCCCTTTGGGATTGCAGCACAGCTTCTTGCCACTAGGCTACCAGTGCTTAGAGAACTTGCACAGCAAATTACCCCTGATGACATTGCCAGCGTGTATGAAGTTTGAAAAGCAATAGTGATATCCTTTCCTTCTCATGTCCTAGAAGACAATTTTGCAGATTGAAGAGAAGATTTTGAAGATTGTAGATCATCAATTTTGTAGATTGAAAATCATGACAAGAGTAGTGATGCTGAATGTGTACCTGATGGAAATGGAGCTATTTCATTTCCATAGATTTACTTTTTTCCTTTTCCTTCAAGCTGTTGATTTCTAATTTTCTATCATTGTGATCTGAGATGATGCTTTTTAGTATTTTGATGTTTTAAAATGTATTCACCCTTGTTTGTGGCTTAACATATAATCTGTTCTGGAGAATATTTTGTGAGTACTGAAGAATAATCCAGGATACACTCTTGATGGGTGGCATGTTATATCTGTGTCTGTGGGATCGAGTGGGTTAATGGTGTTGTGTAGATCTTTTGTTTTTGTTAAGTCTCTTTTTAGTTCTGTCTTTCATTGGAAGTTGTGTGTTAGCAAGCAACAGATGCTGGCGAGGGTATGGAGATATTAAAAAAACACTCGTACACCGTTGATAGGACTTAAAACTATGCAGCCACCAAGGTAGACACTTTGGTGCTTGAGAATGGAAATACCACCTAACAAACCCACTATTAGGTTATCTATGCTAGAGAAATAAAATATGTACAGATAAACATACTTGTGTTTCTCGCAACATTATTTATAATAGCAAAGAGATGGAAACATGCCCAAGTGCCCTTCCATGGATGAAGGGATGAACAAGCAATGCTTTACACAACACTAGGAAACAACAACGAATTCTTAAGACAATGTATAATATAGATTAATCTAGAGGGCTTCGTGCTGAGTGAAAAAGTCACAGAAGGGCAAATATTGAGGAAGTCCACTATTACAAAAAAGCTAAAGAAAGCTTACAGGGAAAAAAAAAGTCGTTCTTAGTTGATTACCATGATGGGAAGGGAGAGAGGAGGGAGTGAAAATTCATTAATTGATAATTGTTACTGTTTTTTGTTTGCTGTCAAGTTGGAACTGACTCTTAGCTGACCCTTCAGTGGGTTTTCAGAAGCAGTAAATCACATCAAAGGAGATTGCCTGTCATCTTTCTGTTATGATGCAGCTGGTGGGTTTGAACCATGTGCCTTTAGGTTGGCAATGCAGCTCCTTACCACTAAGCCACCAGTAGTTGTTGTTGTTGTTGTTGTTGTTAGGTGCTGTTGATTTGGATATGGCCGATAGCAACCTTATGAACAACAGATCTGAACTCTGACCTATCATGTGCCGTCCTCACACTTCCTGACACACTAGAGCCCATTGCCACAAGAGGTCCCTAAATTTATGATGTGTTGTGCTGTGTACTGTCGAGTCAGACCTCACCCAGAGTTGACCCTCTGGTGGTTAATTGCAGAGTCAGTTAATCGCACAGGAGGAGACTGCCCATCCTTCTCCCTGCTCCCATCCCTCCTGTTCAGAAGTCCTCATCCCATCCTCTCTCCCTGGTTTAGAAGTCCAGGCTTTTGTTTTTGGAACGTATGCTCGAGGCTGAAGAGGAAGTGGACATCCTCCCTCCCACTCCACCCTCCAGGATTTCTCTCAGACCCAGGATGCTGGAACAAAGAGCACAGCCTGGGTGGTCCGAGGTCAGCTAGTCCAGCTGCCCTCATGAAGCTTCTGCCCCCAAACGCCCCGAGGCAGCCTGCTCAACATGGAGCTAGAAGGTTGAGGAGGAAGAAGTCAGTGCTGTGGATCAATCGTCTCCACAGATAATAATCTTCCTCATTCTTCTTTGCCCCAGACATGAAGAGACCAATGGTTGCATCTTAGTTGATGGCCCATAAGATCTTATGGGGTCTTTTAGTAAACTTCTTAAATTTTATTTTATTATTTTGTGTGCACCGTCAAATCAGATCTGACGTACAGGAGGAGATTGTCCCCTCTTTCTCCAGCAGAGCATCTGGTGAACTCAAACTGTGTACCTCTGGGATTGCAGTGCAGCTTCTTGCCACTAGGTCACCAGAGCTCTCTGGTCTGTAAGGTTTTTAATGAAGAGTGTAGAAGATTCTCTTGTGGACAACGTTACGCTAATTGACTTTGGTCCTATCCCAAGACTATGGCCCCAAGGTCCCGTGACCAGTGACCCCTTCCCTCAGGCTGTTTGATTGAGTCTTACTCAGTTCTTCTCCATGGGCTCCACTATCTACACGGATATCATATGCTCCTGTCGAGCTATCATCTGTCAAACCTACGCACAATCATGGGTCTAATCACGTTCATTTGCCCATGGCTGCCGTCCTCATCTGCCTGCCTCTGTATCCACATGTGATTATTGGCATTACATGTAGGTTAATGTTTATTATTATCTGCGATGTGGGGCTGTGTACGTAAGGGTCTATTAGTGTCTGAAACTTAGAGAGCTCTGTGGCTTCTGCATCCTTAGTTATTTGAGGCTCAAAACCTCATTGTCATCGACTTAGAAATGACACACAGTTGACCCTCCAGCAGGTTTTCAGAGACTGTAAATTGCACAGAAGGAGACTGCTGTCTCTCTCTGGAAGAGCGACTAGTGGATTCGAACTCCCCTACCTTTGGGTTTGCAGCACAACTCCTTGCCCACTGGGCCACAAGAGCTCTCTGCTCACCCCTTACTTTGTATAATCTTTCTCTTCACCTGACTTACTATGTGTCTGTCATTTATTGCTGATTTTTATGGTTTGTACTGTTTCTACTTTTCCATTTCTTTTTGTCAATTTGTTCTTCTATCACTTTAAAACCGATTCTTCTAGAGTTCTACCTCTGTTTTCCTTTATATCGTCTTTGGTATCTTTAAACATTCTCTCAGTCCAGCAAACTCACTCTCTCATTGCTGTGAAGGTGGAACCAACTCATAGCTCACCCTCCAGTGGGTTTCTGGAGGCTGTAAATTACTCGGAAGGAAATGGCCCATCTTCTCCCAAAGAGCAGCGGGTGGATTTGAACCACCAGAAAATGTCAATCTATAAAGGTACGTAAACAGAATTCTTTTGAATTCCTTTATCAGCTAGTCTCAACAGCCTTTCTTCCTCTGAAAGACTTTTTGGTTCTGGCCCTATATGTGGATGGAAAAGTAGAGGGTCAGAAAAAGAGAAGACCCTCAATGGATGGATTGATACAGTGACTGTGGCAATGGCCTTGAGCAGGTCAGAGATGGTGAGGGTGGCGCAGAGCAGGGCAAGCTTGGGATCTGTTGCTCGTGGCGTCGTTGAGAGTCGTATCCCACTCCACAGCCCTAACAACAACGTCTTTATCCCATGAGGTTTGAAATTACTTGTCGTCTCTGAGACACAAGAGGTGGTGGTGGTGGCCTAATGCTTTCGATCTTACACGTGTCACTGACCCTCCTTGTACGGACATCGTTGCTTGAAGACTAAGGTGTGTCTGATTCAGGCCATGGTCTTTCCCATCGCTTGCTATGCATCTGCGAGTTGGCCAGTGAATAAGGATGACAGAAGAAGAATTGACGCCTTTGAGCTGTGATGTTGAAGAGTACTGAACTTCCCGTGGACTGCCAAGAGAACAAACAGATATGTCTTAGGAAAAGTGCCGTCAGAGTGCTCCTGGGAGGCAGAGATGATAAAGCTTTGCCTCCCACACTTCGGGCATGTTGCTAGGAGATGTTAGTCCTTAAAGAAGGACAGGATGCTGGGAAAGTTAGAGGATTGTCAAAAGAGAGGGAGACCCTCAACCATGCAGTGACTACCACAATGGGCTCTAATATGTCAGGAAGTGTGAGGACGGCACAGGATAGTACAGGGTTCAGATCTGCTGTTCAGAGGGTTGCTATGAGTTGTATTTGACTCGTGGGCATCTAACAGCAACAACACAACCTTGTAAAGAGAAGTGAAGGGACTCAGAGAAGCATAGCAGGTGGGGGACCAACCCCGGACTTTATTGAGCAGATCTGGGGAGGGGTGGAGCCCCCCCTCTCCTTGCCCCTAGCCGTTGACCCCCCCTCTCCTTGCCCCTGCCGTCCTTGGGGTGGACGGAGTCCCTGGGCCCGGACGCCCCTCAGCTGGCGAGGAAGCAGCCCCTCTTGTGCCACTTCTGGTCTCGGATGCGGCGCACCGACTGCAGCTGGGGCTGGCTGGCACCCCACTCGTTCCAGTGCCGGTACTCGCCCTGCTCAAACACGTACTGGCGTCCACGGTACCCCGGGAACTCATAGCCGACCCACCTGCAGAGAGGAAAGGAGGTTAGAATTGGGGGCACAGTGGTCTGTCTGCCTGCCTGCCTCCTCCCCACCTTCAAGGAGACTGAGTTGAAGGAGGGGGGATCACTGGGACAGCATAGGTTAGTGGGGAGGGGGTGTAAAGTAATGGGAAAGGCTTAATGGGGGCTTAAAAAGGTGGGGTGAAAACAAGCATGTTGTTGTTGTTGTTAAGTGCCTTCGAGTAGTAGGTGACTCATAGCGACCCTATGAAGGAAAAACCTGGACATTTGTACAACCTTCATCCTTTCTCCAGGTTCATAGAGTTTCCAGAGACAAGCTATCTTGGAAGTGGATGCCACTCCTGCTTCCAAGCTTGTTTTAATTGGGGAGCTCCACCAAACACTGTCCACCATGGTTCACCATTCTTGCATTTGCCACATCAGTGTCACAGTGTTCAGCTTCACAGCAACCAAGTTTTTTTGTACAGCAAGTGGACACACCAGGGCTATACATCCTAGAAGAATGTTTCACCAAAAACAATTAAAGACAGGCCTGAGGGCTGTGGATTAGAGTCACCCACCTTTGGCTTGGGAGTATCACTTTCTGTCCACGAGGCCAACTGATCTTTCTCTATGCTGTTGTTGTTGTGTTTTTTTTTTT